TCGTTCCCCTTTTGCCATCTCCCCACCACCACTGCCATCATCACATTAATGAAACCCAATTTTACTTTGAGGATTTTTTATTCTCGTGTCTAACACAACATAAAAACTTGTAATTGCCCATTGTTTATTCCAGGCTAACACTTGTAAACTGCATGTAAATTTGCCTTGAGCAAAGTCTAGGTCTGAGTAACAATAGTCTCTCTATACAGATTCCTCTTAGTTTACAGTGCAACATTTTTAATCTCCTGTTCAAACCTGGGGTATAAAGCTGACATGTATCATTAAATGGCTGTGGTATTCTACCCCGGGGAAATGGACAACACATCAAAAATGCCTTTCTCTTTTCATAACATTTATTATGTTTATAAAAGGGCTATTTCAAGCATTAGGTTTGAGACAGAAATCTAGTAGTGTCTTTAACCTTGCTGTCCTTTTTCAAAGAAGTGGTACTTCAATTCCTCTCCATATGCACTTAAAAACACGAACAAGGATGTACTGGTTGTTACTAATAGGGCGGCCCTTGCCCTTTTCTGATGGATAGCTGCTGTATGCTGTTATCTCCCTCTCAGCTGCTGAACATTCCCATTATGTTTTGTATTTCTCCTATCATGGAGGAAATGGCAATCTTGCAAAGACTTGAGTGTCTGCTGCAAAGTGCTGAGTGCCTTTGCTTTTAGCTTCTATTAAATCATTGGGTTGTACCCACATCATTGAATAACATTAGACATTTTTTTCCCCTCATTCTCTGAGAAGTTTAAAATGTAATTGTTACTATGCAGGGAGACCTACCTGTAATTTGATAATTTCACATTTCAGATTCAATGAATCCCTGAAGCCATGTCCAAAAGCTCTCACTGATGTGCAGTCATACTGTCGAATATCGCACAGCCCAGCATTCTCCAGCTCTGTAATTTCCGGAGCCTGGTCTTCAAAGTAGAGATTAGACAATGAATGTCAGTATATTAACTCATTCACATGCATTTACATTATGTTTATTTCTCTATCCAAATTAGAAAACTACGGAAACAATGAAATATGGACCCAGCTGAAGAAAGGCATAAACACAAACATTTTTTATTGTTAAAATGAATCTTAACTTTAAAGCTGGGCTTTTGTCTTCTCTTGGAACTTGAATATTATGAAGCAAAGAAAATATTCATCTGATAACAAACACTTGCGAATATGTGTTTTACTTTCTCATCTATGGTTCTTTACATCACACTTGCAGAATAAAATCTAAATGAAACTCAGGCCCTAGTAATAGGAACTGGAAAGGTTACAGTTATGCAATAATTTATAATGGGAATTTTTTGTTTAAAGACTAAACAAAAATATCTCAGGTGGAAGTTACTCCAGGAAATAAACTGACAAAGAATAGAACATTCAGAAACAGTTTCTATGAAGCAAAACCAGTTCATTTGACTTCAAGAGGAATAAAATATTTCTTTTTATTATTCTCTTACCTCTTTCTCTATTTGCTTTTAAATAGGTCACTAAAACAAAAACACCATTGCAAAACAAAATATTAACAGGTTTTGTTTTGAAAAGGTTTTGACTTTTGTAGTACTTTTCATATTTTTCCAGTGTACCTGCTTAACTGAATTTTTAGTGAATGCCTTATTTATGGGGGGGGGGAACCAAACCAAACCTGACCAGCTCCATTTGCTGTAGGTCTTTTTTCTTCACCATCAATTCTGCTCCCACCACATCTAACAGCTTTTAAAGATGTAACATCACCAAAGAGAAAAACATCCCACTTACAGTTAATAAACAGGATCACATAGACTATAAAAAATTAGGGAATGGATGGATGTGGCAGATCTTCTCTGAAGAAGACAGAGTGTGAAAACATTGCTCATCTCTTGGGGCAATACTCTGGATTGCAAACTCACCAAGTAGTAAATTTTTTAAATCTGACATAATGAAACTAGGCTCATGTTTTGCCCTTCAGAAACAAGAAGGCTGAATAGAAAACAATTACAGCTCTATTAAACTGGAACTAAATTGCTGGATAACGAACAGGGCCACTGTAGGGAACCCTTGTCAGCGTACAAAAGCAGAAGAGAAAGGCAGCAAAATAAATGTATGTTGCACAAACATTGAGAACATTATTTAAGTAAATCTCACTTTTTTCTCCCCACTTACCAGACAGTATGCTGCAGTCATACGAGCTGTAGCCTTGAAAACATGCGCAGCCCCATTCTGTACATTCCCCATTACCACTGCAGAGACTGGGACACTTTAATGCAATAAGTAGGCTCTCAACCGACCCTTCAAGTTCCTGTCGGTTGGAATTTATTTCTTCTAAAACTCTTTTCTCACATTCATTCTCTAGAAGAGCTAAGGAAGCTTCTGCCCAGCTGAGGTCATCTTTCAGCAGCAAATCTTTAACACACATATTGATCGCATCCTCTATTCGCCGGCCAAGAAGGCCACCACAAGATCTTCCTATACTGGAATTAGCTATTGCCTGCTGGCATAGTAACAAAGCACTGGACTCGGTGAGGCCAGAAGGTGTGGGCCAAGAAGGAAGAAACTTTTGGTCGGTGTCAGTGGCATGGTCCTCTGGGAAAAAATAACTATATCCCTCTAAGTCTGTTTGGCTAAGACTTTGGAATAGAAATACTGGATGGTATTCATAATAATTTTGGCGCTTTCCCCTACTTGCAACAGATTGACTTTTGTGAAGATGACTACTGAAACGGTGAGAGTTTCTTTTAACGCCTGAGCTTGAAGTTCCTTTTCTTTCTACAACAGTATTTCCCACTGAGGTTGCAGAGACATGTGTGTTCATTAGTGATGTTTTGTGAAGTTTGGTTTGATTATCCTCCCTCTGCAGAAGTGTAGATGAATCCATTTCATGTGGAAATGAACGTTTCTTTAAGCCTCTGACAAGATCAACAGGACCGAGATACTCAGCAGTGACATCCAGGTCTGGTATCAAAGAAAGAAATCTACCATTTTCACTTTCTTTACAAGACTGAGGAAGTTCTGACTGAGAAACTGCCTCTAGTTTATTCACTGATCGATATAATCCAGCATCTTCAAGTGCGCAGTCACAGAAGACTATTTTTCTAGAAGATGATAAAGAAGCAGGTGTCTTGTCAAACAAGCTATCTCCTGGTGAAATTCTAGAGAAGAAAGAAAAAGATGAAACTGTATCTGAACTATTTTCATTGTTTTAGCAAAGCATTAACATTTGTTTTGCTTTTTGTTGTTTCATACTTCTACAGCATAGATCACAGAATCTGCAGCATACAGCTATATTTAAAGACCAGTTAAATCACAAAATCATGAGCGTAAGTTATAATAGAAGAATTGAGAAGGGTGGATATTTTCTGTATACCTTGATACTTTGCTAAAACATACTCAAACTAATCTTACATCATACTACTTAAATACTAATCTGGCACTTCAGTTGCAATTTTCTCTGAAATTAATTATGGAATATAATGACGGCATTCTAACATTAACTTAAAAACTTAGGAAGATTATTTTTTATATTATTTTGACAAGTTTTTAAGAGTGTAAAGGAAAGGCTGAACCAAAAATGATGACATTTGATTGAAATAGAAGTATTTTGTTACCTCCATTCCTTAATAAAAGAAAAAGGAACATTAGCATGGTTTGGGATTTCCACCCCACTTGCAGTGTGATAGTCGTTCTCTGCACTTCCATCAAAGGTGCCACAGAGTCCCATTGTATGTCTGTAATCTGAACTGGGTGCCCTAAGTGTTATGCTCATTCCCCATTCACTCACATCAGCACGAATGAAAGCTCCAGAAGAAAACAAAACCTAAAAAGAGATTGATGACATCATCATGAGAAACATGATTTTTATTTTACCTAATAAAACCAGGTATGTCTGTTGGCAAGGAACAATTGGAAAAGGCCAGACATATAAAGATATCACATTAAATTCTTGCTCTAACTATTCTGGATCAGACAAATTTCATTATTCCTTCTTCTCGTGAAGCCCTGTAAATAAAAACCCTATACATCTCAACCTTAGCAGGCAGCTAGGTGGTGCACTATAGGTCCATAAACTTCATCCGTCATTAGCAGGTATATTATCGAAGGTCAGTGACTGCAAAATCACAGAGAATCAAAGATCTGCTGGGCTGCTCACTCTTCCCATGCTAGCATATGGAAAGGGATGATTATGGTAATATGAACAGACTCTTTGGCAGTACCTTTCTTGACTTTCTTTTTGTCAGCTACATGATTCCCTGTGTTAGTAGCTTAATATACAGTCACTTTCTACCTTCAAAGCTGATCCTAAATGTTCTAGATAGCTCAGAATAGTCTCAAATATTTACTATTCAATTTTAGACAGCTTTACAATCTCTTGAAAGAAATACTATAAGTCTCAAGAACAAAGTCCACTGCTAGTTTAAATGCTGTTTCTGTTATTTACTTGCTGTACAAATCTGAGCAAGTCACTTAAAAGGATACTGAGGAACCAGAAAATTAATTTTTCTATTGCCTCATGTCATCTTAATATTTCATATCTGGGGTGTTCAGACGAAGAGCTTCAGATAAAAGTTAAAGATTTAAAATAGTCTTGCACCAATAGCCAAACCCAAGTTGAAAAGGCATATCTGTTTTTATGGCTTGCCTTCCAGACCAACAGAGTGATTAAAGAGCAGTTCAGGACTTCACTTTTACATTCTGCTTCATTTGAAGTTCAGTGGAGTCCTACAGCAATTCTATCTACAAAAGTAAAGCTACAGGAAATTATAAAAGCAAACTTGAATGTTCCATCTGAAGGCCACGTTCTCTAGAGAAACCATCTACACTTCTAATTCTGTGGATGTCATTTGGCATACTTAATTATCTGCATGCACAGCCTTCCTATATGACACTGGCATGAGCAAAACAGAGCACACAGAGATCTCATTTTGGAACATTAGGGCTGCTAAATAAGTGCATATTGAATCTGAAAACTGCACCTTCCACACAAGGGTTGTATACTGTGATTGACAACATGGTTCCACAAGAGTATGCATGTTGACACATCCTTATTTTTGAGGACAACATCCTTCACTTACAAGCAAAACACTGGCCAAAGGATGACAATTGTAAAATAAACATTATGCTATTGCTTAACTGCAGAAAATAAAACATGTTTTAGTTCTGAAGTTGGTGTGAATTGGTAAAAATAATTGCTGAGATAACCATTACATCCAGAAGCAATTATTTACTACTTACTGTTACTTTTCTTCCTAGGTAGGATTCAGTGATTCTGACATTGCTTCCTGTTGTGTCTCTATTTATTACAGATAAGTGTGGCTGTGACTCGTGTAGCTGACCACTGCACATGTCAAATGCAATTACATCACTTCCTTCTTTGGCAACAAAGCCACAGTTACAGGATGCTGGGTAGTGAAGACTTCCACAGTCCCACTGGCGAACATGAACGTCAAAATCTCGAGATGTACTCTTATAGAGAACAAATGTTCCCGTTTTAAAGTTGTCATAGAGTCTGGAATCAAAAGAATAGCGTTTGATATCACTTTGGTTACAAAATAACTATATCGCCACATGTCAGCAACATTATCTTAAAACAGATTTCTAATATTTGGTGAACTTTGATACTGCAACTCATTTTCCTGCATCAGAAAACCCAAACAGTACAGCCCACATATCAATACACAACTTTGTTCTGAACAAACACCATCATATCTTTCTCTGTGCAGCTCTAAATCAAAAAAATTAAACGTGTTTTACAGCAGAAAAATAAGGAATAAAAGAAGGATCATGAGGGGAGTATGTGTAAACAATGGTTGTGAATGGAAACATAACCATGAAGCCACTGCCATTCTTTGATGTTTTTTTTTTAACAGTGCTTATGACAGGGAACTGGAGGGTACTTCTCAACCTTTGTGTTTCTACAGCAGTACACCTATGCAGCAAGAGCAGTAAGATGCACACCAGCGTGCATGTGGGGAGCAGCTGCTGAAAACTGCATAAGTACCCTTGACAAAAGGATTTAGAAAGTCACATACTTTTAAAAAGGTCTCCTTTAGTAAGATGGAGATGAGGAGTGCTTATTCCCAAAGATCTGAAAATTATTTAAGATGAAAACCATAAATAGCAACGTCTTTTTTTTTCCTTAGGGTTAGCCATCTGTTCCCTGAAGCAAGGTTAAAATAGCCAATTTAATGATTCAGTGGTGAGAAGGGAAGAGAAGAGAAGAGAAGAGAAGAGAGAAGAGAAGAGAAGAGAAGAGAGAAGAGAAGAGAAGAGAAGAGAGAAGAGAAGAGAAGAGAAGAGAGAAGAGAAGAGAAGAGAAGAGAGAAGAGAAGAGAAGAGAAGAGAAGAGAAGAGAAGAGAAGAGAAGAGAAGAGAAGAGAAGAGAAGAGAAGAGAAGAGAAGAGAAGAGAAGAGAAGAGAAGAGAGAAAAGAAAAGAAAAGAAAAGAAAAGAAAAGAAAAGAAAAGAAAAGAAAAGAAAAGAAAAGAAAAGAAAAGAAAAGAAAAGAAAAGAAAAGAAAAGAAAAGAAAAGAAAAGAAAAGAAAAGAAAAGAAAAGAAAAGAAAAGAAAAGAAAAGAAAAGAAAAGAAAAGAAAAGAAAAGAAAAGAAAAGAAAAGAAAAAAGAAAAGAAAAGAAAAGAAAAGGAGAAAAGAAAAGAAAAGAAAAGAAAAGAGAAAAGAAAAGAAAGAAAAAAACCCCAAACTTTTGCTGCAAGTTTAACAGCCTCTTAGCTATAAGTGGCATTTGACAGTTAATTGCAGAACGGTGATTTGCTTTGTGTATAATGGGCCAGCAGACAAACTGCAGATGGCTACTCTACCGGGACTGCACAGGATTACCCGTGATACAGTAAGGACAGTTCCTTTTCTATTTGTTTCCTCAGTTTGTAAAATAAAGTGGCAACAGACTTTATCCTTAAAAAGAAAGTTCTTTCCCCGCAGCATCATGCTTCCAGCCAGACTACATCACAGTAAATCATTGCTTCATAAGAAAGCTTGATCACAACACATCGATGGTTAAAATGCCCAGTGAAGCCATCTCTATAATTTTCACTGAAGGAGGAACTGCAAGATCAGGATAACCCCAGTGACTTTATTATCATTATTATTATTATTACTAGTCACAGTGCTATCAAAGAAGCAATTACAACTTGTCTTTTGCCTTCTGTTATCAAGTTCACAGGAGTGGGACTGTGGGCTGAACATCCTTATTTGGAGGCAACATATCCTCGTCTTCTCACCCTGCCACTTGAAGAAATGTGCCTCTGTTGAGCAGGGAATATAAAAGTCCCAGGTGTGCAGCCTGTGTTTGCTTTGACACCTTCCATGAACTAGAAACACTTTGAAAGACAGAAGCATACCAGAAACATGCCAGCTGCGGGCAAGGAAGCTGTCTTCACTTTAGAAAGGTCAGTGATGTGCAAGTGACAGCAGTAAGTCGCTTTCAATGCCATTAATGAACTCAGCACAATGTTACACGGACAGCAGATAGCTTCTAGAAACTTGATCCTTACAAGGATTCAGATACTGACACCCAGAAATAGGGAAACTATGCCGTAGATCAGAAACACCTTTGCATTAAAACAGTTTTGCCTAATCAATAATTTTATCATTGTTCATATTTAATAACATTTCTATCTTTCATAGTCAATAGACTGTACAGCAACCACTCCTCTCTTGGCATACTCCTCTGAAAAGGAAAATAGTCCATTTGCTTCACTCTTTTGCCACAACCCCAAAACTTGCATTTAGAAATACAAATATTACAAACATCATCATGACTGGCAAGCTTTTACTAACTAAAGCATGTTTATCCTTATTGTCCAAGAAAGAACGTAAAATACAGAGTGCAGCTGGGGAAAAATACAGCTAACTTGTATCACCAGCACAGATTTTAAATAAAAAAAAAAAAAAAAAAAAAAGGTAAATAAATATATCAACCCCCCCCAAAAAACACCCACAAAAAATCCCAACACACTTAAAATCAAAAGCAGCAATCCAGTGATTACCTTCCATCAAATGTGATTATATGAGGGTCAGTAAATGAGTAGCAGTAGGCAGTGGGTAGATCCTTTACTGTAATCTTCAAAACAAAGAAGCACATAGTAAGCCATGTCAGATTAGTAAATAAACAGACTTGGGCACATTACTTACTTATCTTATGATACTAGTTTACATTCTAATACATATATTATATTATACTATACTTTTAATCAATCTGAGTAGTTATATAACTATTAAAATGTAAAAAAATTAATTCAAATGAAAACGCAGCATTTCAATGAAAATAAAACAATGGAAAACTGACCACTTAGAAATCTTGGTGTGAGTCAGCAAGTCACAACTGAAATAGAAACTTCATTAACATCAGCCACATTTCTGGCCAGTTTACAGAGCTTAACATGAAGATTTTCAACCTGTGTGCTTTCTGGAACATAGCCATTCCACAGGAAATTCTCACTGGTTATAGGCTCGACTGCAATTCTGGTAATTCTGTCTCCATCCTGCATAAAGTCTGTCACAGCAGTGAAGTAAATTACAGCTTGACTACAGATTCCGTTATTGCAGGGTTTCTGGAGAAGATCCACATGGCAAGAAGAAAGAGCCAAGTTTAAACCTAACTGCTCTTTACCTGTTTTAATGAAAACACATCATTAGTGAGTTTTCCTCTAAATAAGTCACATTTTGTATGCTACTGTTAATATAGATACTAACGTAAGTATTTGCAAACATTTTCATAAATTAAAATAATTACATATTTTTCTTGGGTTTGGTCATGCAGAACCCCCTCTCTCCATCTTCATACACACACCTAGGAAAATGGTTTTGTATTTTCCAGTTTGATAAACAAATGGAAATCATGATAGCCTTGCTAATGTGACACAAAAATGGTCATCTGCATAGGCAAGGCTCCTCCTGGGATTCACAGGACTTGTGCTTCAGAAAGCACTACAGAAAACTGTAATAATAGTAAAAAATGAGGACTTCACGACTGCATATACAATACTTGCAATGCAACAGGTCAACAATATGAACTGAATTATAAAACTTTGCAAGTAACGGCATTCTGTCTATTCAAGTTAAAGAATATGGCTCCGATATCCATAGCTGCCAAGAATACCTGCTAACTTCAACAAGTAATGGATTATGGACACATTCTTCCATACTTTCAGCAGCAGTATATACAGCCTGTGAATATTTTGTTTTAACATTTTAGAAAGTATTTTACAACGTAACAGCTTCTCCAAAGAAGGAGACCAGTGGGAATATTTAGAAAAACACATTAAACATACAAAATGCAACAAAAATCAGGATAATACCTACCTTCATCAACAGTATTTAATGTTAGTGAGATTTTGCAGTCACTGTCAAGCTGGCTAAACTCAGGACAAGGAATAGGAATGCTACTTTCTATTGCCAGCCTGTATTCCTTCCCATCTTCTGATATATTATATGTTTCTGGATGTATCTAGCAAAAAATAAATTGTACTTAAAATGCAAGCTTTGTGAGTAAACTGCAGCACTGCTTACTAACCAGCTGGGAGTACAGTATAAAAAACTAAAGAGATGGAATGGCATGGTGCGTGGCCTGCTCCACTTGATCAGGCTTATTTAGATGGTCTGAAGAGCAGTGGCATACTGGGAAGAGATGAGGACACAGGAGCAAGAGTCTTGAAGAGGTGGGAATAGGGGGCAAGGATAAGGAAAAGGCAAGAGTAAAGGCTAGCTAGACAGGTAAGGAATCAGCAAACCACATTAACATCACATAAATGTATTCTTTGGGTAACTTCTGGAAGCTAAAATACAAACAGTTTGGTGTATTGTCTGGGGGAAAAGGAGGGGGAAGCTACCTACAGGCAACAATTCCCAAAAGAATTTGGAAGCACCATATTTCTCCTGGGATTCCTCTCTGTAAACTTACAACACAGCTCACTATAGATGTATAATCAAAAATGCAATTAGAGATCAGTAACAGAGGCCTACAACTGAGTGTTGTACATGGGGTGAAATTCTGAATGCAGCCTCATAGGAAAACAAAAATAATGCACTCACACTTTGCAGTGTGCACTATAGACTTGCACTTACACGTGATAAACCTGGGCCCTGATCCTGCAGAAACATAAGCTCAGGCTTAACTTTATGAAGGGCAAATCCTGAAGTCAACAGGACTATTCCCAACATGTAATGACATGCAGTGTCTTTCTGGGATTGGGGTCCCATTCCTGGCCAGCAAACGGGTCCCTATAGGTATGTTCACAGTAGGAATTAAAATTAGTTTGGAGCTTGCTCTCTGACCAAGTGGCATGGCACAGCTCATGCCCCAGTTTGCCTCTCTAAGCCCAGACCAGGTTGGCCTCACCCTTCCCTTACCCCCACGGCCAGCTGGGAAGAGGCGCTGGCCTAGGCTATCCCGTGAGCCATGTGCTGGCAGAGCCTGTTGGCATAGGCCGTAATCATGCCAGAAAATGCAGCAGCAGTTAAACATAATAGACAACAGCGTGCCGGGGCTCAGATCTGAGCCATGACCCTCCTAGGTTACAAATACTGCGTCAGAGTTGACCCTAGCTGCTGGAAATCAAGGCTTTCACTACATGTGTGTGCTGCCAATTCAGCCTTCCTGCACCCTGAGTACACACGGAGCATAGAAACAACTGTGACTTTTCTGCTTTTTGACAAATTTAAGTTCGCTACAGCCAACAACATGCTCTATTAATTCACAGCTAATACTTTTTGAGTGCCTTCTAATCAGAGGACCGACTGCTGTAGCAATACTCAGAAAGATTCCTACTATGATAAAGTAAAACATCATTTTCTTTCAAAATTACCTTAATGCCAGCAAAAAATTCCTTGCTCTCAACAGAAGAGCTTTGTATATCCGGCTTCTCCATGAAAAAAGCAGAACTGCTACAATAGACCTGTAGGGCAAAACCAGCATAACAGAATACATTTTTGGTATGAAGTGGTCACGTGAAGACAAAACCCAGCCATCACAGGTCAGTTTGATGGATTATTCACGCCCAGTCTTCTGTTTGCACCAGAAGTTACCAATTGCCAATGGTGCTGCTTAAGAAAAACATAGAAACAGATTGAGCATCCTGAGACCTTTCCCTGGCATACTCTACCAGCAGTGCAGAGACTTCTTTAACTAAAGGCCACATACAAACCATCATGTTTGACAAGCACCTAAGCCTCCATGGATTTAACAAACCCCTTCTGGAGCATTTCTACACCCTATGGCATCTTGTGGAAATGCATTCTGTACTTTATTACATGTTATTTACTCCTTTTTGTCCGTTTTACATTTTTTGCCTTTTAATTTTGTTGAGTGCCCATTAGGTCTTAGATGATGCAAAACAACCATCCCCTCTTCTTCCTCCTCTTCTTACTACTTTTTTCCTGGTGTTATGGGCCTGGATAATCTTTTTCAAGCTGAAGAATTTACTGTGATTTCCCTCCACTGAAACAGTTACATGCTACTAGACACTGTGGTTTTGCTTTGGTTTTGTATGTTTTCTTTGTTTATTTTGCTGCATCCCTTTTCAGATGTGTTGACCACACATGCAATATTTCAGATCCTGAGGAAATCAAGAACTCATAGCAGCAGCAGGTAGTTTATGACTGTGCCTTTCCTTTTGACTGTCACTGAGCTAACACTGTCAGACAACTATTCACAAATTCCCCAAAGGATTTTTGAGGATTAGCAATTGCTATTGCTGTCCATAAGCCATCCAAGCAGCTCGGCTTTGGCTTGAACACACAGGCACACCAATCACATGCTTTTTTGTTTTTTATTTTGGCCATGAAAATTAACCTATATTGTGGTATATACAGGTAGAAAGCTTATTGATTTTCCAATGCTTAAGCTTCTCAAAGTTACTATGAGTGCCTAGGTCTTGATTCTGATACCACAGAAGGTAATGCTCCCACTGCTTTTGATGGCAGAGATTAAACCATTTAAATCCAATCCTAGAGACAAAACCATCAAGCAGCAGCTCATTATTGATTCAGAGAAAATAAATCTATCTAATGAATCAACAACACAGCTTCTCACAACCTCTGGCTCTTACAGCCTCTCACTTAGATGCAGTTGCATCCAAAAATCCTCTTAATTTACAGTATCGAATAAAATCACAGTAGAGTGTGAAGAAGATGCAACTTGAATAAACATTTATCTCCTGAAGGCACACTATACTGTACTGAGACAGACAGTCTCAAAACCTTAACAGCAGTGATAATTACTGATATAGTCAGTGGTTTTTCCACATTCACATGGGCACTGTTGGTGTAAACAACAACTAGAGGCAGTATGCTTCTGCCAAGAAAAATTATACAGCGAGGTGCTAGAACTCTGTCTCTAACAACTGTTAATGATGTCTACTGAGATATATTTATAAAGATACAAAGAGATTATAATTATGTTTAAACATACTCTGTCTCCAAGTCTGATGTTTATCCCATCTAGTTCTAGAAGTGAGAATGTATGAACTGCTGTTTCATGTTTCAGTTCTTCTTTGATACCTTCAGGAGAAAGTCTTGACCAAGTTACAATGAATCCGACTGAGCTGTTTGTAAAAGGAACGCCAAAGGTACACCTTAGGTAAATGCTGCCTTTGATCAACTCTGCTACAACTTCAGGAATGGCTGGTAGTGGTGGTGACACAGATGGAGCAGATGAAGGAGCCAGGTTACCTAGTCAAACAGAAGCGTGGTTTGTGATTTTTATTCTGTGCAAAAACAATATCGGATGAAATGACATTGACATATATTTCACTGATTAATGCACTAATAATATTTACCTTTTTCATATGTGGAAATATTACATAATTGCTTAGAGAATCAGAGAAAATGTGTACGTTCCTTTTATTAATTATTAAAAGGAGAAAAATCTCTTTATCAGCCTTTGATTATATTCTAGCCAATAGGAAGGTGATGAAGCAGGAGGGAAATCCCAAAAACAAGGGAATAAAATACAAATAATTATTTTACCAGACAGGAGAGAGCAAAATGCAAAGGAATTTGGAATTTGCTTGATGGAAGAATATTTTCTCTAATTATGAAAAAAAGGG